CCGCGCCGTCCGCTGCAGCTCTCCAGGCTCCCGCGCCGTCCGCTGCAGCTCCCCAGGTCTCTCCGTCGCATGCTGCAGCTCCCCAGGTCTCCTTGACGCAAGCCGCGTTTCCTCTGGTTCTGTGTTTTGGACGGCCTCCCGGCCGCCCCCCTGACCTGGCCCGGTTTGATGGACAGCCGCCCGCCGGAACAATGACTCTTAGGGACGATCCCTTGACCGTCCAAATCCTTTGTGTTCCCTCGTGTTTTTTCTCTGGTCCTCCACCCTTGCAGTGCCACCCGCCCAAGTCCTTTGGGAGGGGTTTTTTTTTTGGGGACGCCTGGAGGCGTCCTTGAGGGGGGGGGGGGGGGGGGGTACTGTAAGGATGGTACTTTTCTGTGGCCCAGTTTGAGTCTGTGCTCCCTCATTAGTTCCATTGTTACCACCCGTGTCTTGTCCCAGCTGTCTGTAATCATGTCTCTGTATATAAGCCGTCTGTTCTGTCTTGTTCATCGTGGCGTCATACTCGTTGGGTCTCCTGTGTCTTCCCCTGAGTCTTCCTGGTTCCTCGAGTCTCCTGAGTTTCCCGTGCCTCCTTCCTATGTTCATGTAAGTTTTGCTGCCCCGTCAGCTTGATATTTTGTACCTTTTTTATCATTAAATTCCTATTTTTGTAATCCTGCCGAGTTGAGTCCCTGTTCTGCACTCTGGGTTCGCTCCTGACCACAAATCCTAACAGAACCCTTCAGGGTATATCTGATTTTTTTTCTAGATAAATATGATACATCACCTCTCCTATCCAATGTACATATGCTGTGGGGTGTAGGTCCTTCCAGTTGCACAAAACAAGTCTTCTGGCCAAGAGAGCCAAAAGCAATCCCATCCTTCTCGTACTTGCTGAAGGACTTATCCACAAAAACTACCCCAAACAGTGAGATGAGTGGTGATGGATAAACAGTTCTCCCACATATCCCAGAGAAGGTGTCAAAATAGATTGTCAAACAATCTCCAGTTTGGGATGGGTCCAGAATGTATGCAGGAATGTAGCTGGAGTTTGTTTACGATTACATGCGGGGTCCAGATCGGCTTTGATCTTGGACAGCTTGTCTTTGGACCAGTGCACTACTTTGAATTGAACTATACAGCATGTAGTTTTTACTCCAAAATCTTAAACACAAAATATTTAAAGGGGTATAAAGGAAAACAATCAGAGTTAGACGTCACAAAATGTCTCAGCTGTAAATATCAGAAAAACTGACTTGTGGATATTAAACTTCTGTACCAGCTGTTCAAAGAGGAAAATTACCATCAGCATAGAAATTACACAGTGAATGCCCTCCCCTCAAGACCCAGGTGTCAACAGCTGTATCAGCTACTGAGGGAGTAAACGTATGATTATTTGACACAGGTGCCAAAAAGTAACTGAGAGTTAAATGGCCTCCTGAACTGATTCCAAATCTTACCCGTCCAGATCACAATTGGGCTAGAAGTGTAGGTTGATATTGTTTAAAGGGCAGCCGAGAGCAGAGTAATGCAGAAGGAGAACTGGATCTAACTGAGGCCCTTTCTAAGGCTGCCTAACTGGGAGAAGGGGTGTTCTTACCCAACCAGAATAAAAGAGCTTTGACATTAACTGCCCAGTAATAGTGCATCAAGTTAGGAAGTCACATGACTCCAAGTCTACAGGGAAGATGTAAGACATTCTTGGCAATCAGTGAATGCTTTTTATTTCAATTAAACACTGATATCTGGCTGTTCACATTGGTAAAGAAGGATTTAGTAAGAAAGATTGGCAAATTTTGAAACAGGAATAAAAATTTATGTAGGATATTAATTTTTACAGATTTTATTCTGGTTTTGAATTTCCTCCATTTGCACACAATCTGTCTGACTGTGGATTGGTGGAGTCCAAACTCTTTACAGATGGTTTTTAACCTTTTCCAGACTGACGAGCAACAACTCTTTTTCTGAGCTCCTCAGAAATCTCCTTTGTTCCTGCCATGATCCACTTCCACAAACATGTTGTGAAAATTAGACTTTGATAGACCCTGTTCTTTAAATCAAACAGGGTGCCCACTCACACCTGATCATCATCATTGATTGAAAACACCTGACTCTAATTTCACCTTCACATTAACTGATGACCCTAGAGGTTCACATACTTTTACTCACAAATATGTGACATTGGATAATTTTCCTCAATAATAAAAAAAGTATATTTTAGTCTTATTTGTTTAACTGGGTTCTCTTGATCTACTTTTAGGACTTGTGTGAAATCAGATGTTTTAGGTAATTTTTATGCAGAAATATAGAAAATTATCAAAAGTTCAAGCATCACTGTATGTGCACATAACATCCTGCTTGCTCATGAATATTCTCACCAGGCACTGGAACAGTAACTGTTGTACATGATGCGATTATTGATCGTACAGAGGGCAACATACAAGAATGATCACAGGCCTGGCCATGCTGTGCACGCTCCTGAAGGACAAGTTCAGGTGCACCAGCTCTGACCTCAAACATCATATTTATTCAACGTTTCATGGAAAATGGAGCATAAAGATCCTAACATTTAGTTACTATAAATAAAATGGACAAAATACACGAAGAATCATGGACAAAACTGATATTTAATAGTCGTTTCCACTTGTGCCATTTCTTGAATCCAAATTTCTGCAGTGGCTTACATCCAGCATAAAGACTTACTTTAAAATGCAAACACGAACAAGAAAAGGTCAAGGAAAATACACCACAAGAAGAACATGTAGACCCCCCCTCACACCGACTGACAACCTCACTACGATCTCCTGGACCTGCTCGGGCTGGATCAAGGTGAATTTGGAAGACCTCCTTTGGTGTGGATGCAGTTACAACCCTGCAGAGCTGGTATGCTATTTATTTTATTTATTTATTTCCCCTGTGCCCCTACCATACGATGTACACCCCCTGTATGGTGAAGCTACAGGTGTCGTGTTACCACGACAACGTTACAATCACTAACAGCCTTCAAGCATAATGTCGTCGTAGTCAGTCCTGCTTAAAATCCCGAACCATCAGACCACATGTGGCCAATGTGATGCATACTCCCCACCCCCCATCACGCTCCACCACCACCACACCGATAAACCACTGTACCATGGCAATGGAGGTTTTACTCTCAGAACCATCGTGGATCTGTGATACCAGTTACACGCCTGAAGTCCCCATCAAAACCCAGCAAAGCCCATAACGTTCTGTTCCACACCATAGTGGGTTAATCGTCCAGTGTGTGTGTGTGTGTGTGTGTATGGGGGGGGGGGGGGGGTCTAACAGAGATCTCATCAAATGACAGCAGTGGACACAGCAGTTGTACACAATTATTGAATACTGTCTGACTGGTTGTGACGTGTGTGATGAAGAGGAGCGAAGACTGGGCTGTCATAAGGTCACTTCGAAGTCAGGACCAACAACACAGAAAGAAAACATGGTGCGTTCACTGGCAGTGTGCTTTTAACAAATTCACGTGTCTCTGTAAAAACTCAGGTCACTTCAAACGGGCACTGGGGTCATGATAATCTTAGGTTGGTAACATGAAAACAACAACAACATGGTTCAGAGTGTCATATTTCAGAACTGTTGCACCTTCAGGGTGGACTTTATTACTAGATTCAGTAGAAATACTTCATGCAACAAGCATACAATTATTATTTCACAAAACCCCTAAAAAACATGTTAAATAAAAACACTTCCTCACAGTTAAAACTGTTCTCACATTCGTTCAGATCAGACATGCATGTAAAGCGTGACGCGCTGCTCGTTTGTCTAGCACACGTATGATAAGCTCGCACTGCAACACTTCAGGGACAAATATGAAATGCTTTGAGACAAAACATGAACCTTGTGCCCTTCCTGGCAGGTGTGACTGCAGGAGCAAAGGCCAACCATAAAAACAGTACATAAAGTGCGTCTGTGGAAATAAACACTAAAAAACTTGCTGTCATAAAAGACGTATCAAAACAAAGCACTTGGAGGACAGAAAGAGGGTTCCTACACACAGATGAGCTGCACATTCTTGGTTTTCCACATAAAAAAAGATGAGTTCAGACATGAGTGGAGGTAAGGAGGGACGGTGTGTGGCGTTTAACCCAGAATGAGGCTGGACTTGCCCCCTGGGGGGTTTCGACGTCCAGATGGTGCACCTGCAGCAGGCTCGTCCACCTGAGCGGGCTCCTCCAGCTGCTGAGGAGCTGCTTCTGGATCAGCAGGGCCATTTTCTGAACAAACACGGAGAGAAAAGTCTAAAACAGAACTAGAGAAACTGCATTTCCTGTGAAAATGCAATCTGGATGCTTATTGTAGAACTTGCTGAAAAACGGCTAAAATTAGCTAAAAACATGCTGAATTGTAGCTGAAATCGAAGAACAAGCCTTAATTAGCAGAAGAAAGCAGAAACAACACATATTTGCTGAATTAGGTTTAAATAGGCAGAAATGAGCACAAAAATGATAAAATTAGCTAAAAAAAGAGCTGAAATTAGCAAAAAACAGCTGAAAAGTCAGAAAGAAGCTTAAAACTACTAGAAGGAAACAAAGAGCTAAAAAAAGCTAAAAAAAAAAAAAGTGGAATTAACTGAAAAAGTTCAAATCAGCATAAAAACAGCTAGCAG